ATAAGTGTGCTTTACACAATTGATGTATGTATGGATTGTGATGAATTGTATGAGCCCCAATAAAATGATTTAAAAAAAAGAAGAACGTGGAGTTCTGGGTTTAGGGCCCCCCCCCCCCTCAATTAAATGTGCTGCCCTCGTGAGGTCAATCATCGTATTATTTTGTTGAGAACATTGGGTAAAACAGAAAAACAAAAGCCAAGTCACGGCTGGCAGGTCAATTCTGCCTCATAATGACGGAGGTTGGAGCAGATCGGCTTCCCAGGATTTTAGACGCTGTCTGTCTTTCCGGGGCAGACAGCCTCGCCCTGCCCTGGGGTGCGGCGGTGGGTTGGCAGGGCTGGGTCCTGTGGTCAGCAGCCTCAGGGTGGTTATAGACACTCTCGCACTGTGGTGCAGAGATCTGTATGCAAGCGTGCACTTGCGGGTGGTGGGTGGAGTCCAGCCGATCATTCAGGCCACAACCTGGTGATGCCTCCTGGGACGTGTGGCCTTTTGATGAGAGAGACACTGAGACCCCTGTGCTCCTTCACTTTCCTTCTCCAGGACTTCATTGCCACTCTGTCTGCCTCCCGGGCGGCCCCACATGGGCATGTGCTTGAGAGCTGTGGGGGCCCTGCCTAGTTCCCACCAACCAGGGATCCGTGCGTGTCTGCCCCACCAGCCTGTGATCTTCCTGCGTCCCTCTGAACTTCCGGCATCTAGCCTGCAGCTCCGGGAGTCTGCAGAGGGCTCCGGCTAGCATCGCCCGTGGACTTGCGCTGGCCTGGGCTGAGACGTCTTCTTGCTAGCAGGTGCCATCTTATACAGATGGGAATTGTTTCTTGTTTCTGGTCTTGTTTCTCTACACAACGCGCCTAACACACACAGTCACAGGAGGCTGGGGAGGGCGAAGGCCGGGGTTTCTGCATGTTAACTGTGCCCTAGGTGCTGGGCACTGCTGCGTGTGCTTTTCATGTACGGCCAGCTGCCCTCGGAGTGACCCCGTGTGTCGGAGGACAGGGATGCTCCCAGGGTTTTCCATGGCTCCTTTTTGGTTTTGGATATAAATTGTCAGGACTTTCTCCCAAGGCACCGCTGGGTAGACTTGAACTTCCAACGTTTGGTTTGGAAGCCGAGCGCGTTCACAGCGTGAGCCACCCAGATGCGCCTTTTGATACATCGATCTCATGTAAGTCACATAACAATGCTTAAAAGGCAGGGATTCTCTTATTGGTTTTATTTTACAGTTGATGAAACTTGGGTAAATTTTATATGGAAAGTCTAAAAGCCGGCTCTGCCCCAAAGGTCCTACTGGCACACATACAGCCTCCCCTCTTGTTTCCGTAGTTACTGTCTGCGGCTGCTCTGAAGCTGCAGACGCGATTGTGATATTGTCACTGAGACCTCAGTCTAGCATATTCACTGTCCAGTTCGTGCGGAGAAGCCCATCACCCCTCGCGGAAGCCGCGGCGGGCTGTTGTAAAGTGTCCCCAAGTCACCTCCGACCCACGACGACCTTCTATGTGTAATTCAGAGGCAAAGAAAACAGGCAGAGAGCTGGACAGCTTCTAATACAACTGCTATCAAACTTCCAGAAGAAAAACAAAACAAAACAAGACTGTCTTTATCTAATTTCTTTCATTCCTATCTTGCTTTACCTCTCCTTACTCAAGGTTTATCAGAGCGCCTGCCCAGGAAAAACGAGTTTCGTCAGAAAGGGTTGGCTCTGGGTAGGGTGAGTTTTCGTGAGGCAGCAAAGTTTCCAGGAGAGAGGGGGGCGTCCGAAGCTCCAGCTGAGAAACCCCGTGGCGCCATGGCTTCCTGAGAGGAGCTGTAGAACTGTTGGCAGGCTCACACGGTGTCTCCTCCAGTTCAAATGAGATCATGGTGGGAATATTAATAAGAATCATGGAACAATCGGCTGGCTTCTTCAACATTTGGTACCACCTATTGTCTTGCTTGAGCATCAATGGACGTTTCTCTTTTTTCTGGGAGGGCATGTCATCACTATCGTGAGGAGACTGTGTGTAGTTCTATTGTTTGTGGGATTCATCACACACAGTAACCCTTTAGAACAGTGGTTCTCAACCTCCCTCACGCGGTGACCCTTTCATACAGTTCCTCATGCGGTGGTGACCCCCAACCATAAGATTATTTTCGTTGCTACTTCATCACTGTCATTTTGCTACTGTTATGACTCAGGCGATCCCTGTGAAAGGGTCGTTTGACCCCCAAAGCGGTCACGACCCACAGGTTGAGAACTGCTGCTTTAGAACATCCGCCCTCCCCACCCCCAAAGTTAAAGAATGTATTTAGTGGACAATGGGCTCATCAGTGCAAGCTCTCAAACTAAATCAAACTCACTGCATTAAGTCAACGCAGACTCACAGTGACCTAACAGGACAGGGCAGAACGGCCCGTTACTTTCTGAGACTGTAACTCTTTTCAGGAGTAGAAACCTCTTCTTTCTCCCAAGGAGCAGCTGGTGGTTTCGAACTGCTGACCACGCAGATTGCAGCTCAAAGCTTAACCACGGCACCACCCGGGCTCCTCCCCCCTGAAACTCTTGTTTGATTAAACATGAGGACAGGACCAGGTACCACTCAGGAAATCAGGGGGCATTATACTAATACTGAATAGCAATGCTGGTCCAACCCACTGCCCTCAAGTCAACTGCAAAACTTTACAGGAGTAGAAAGTCTCTTTCTCCCGAGGGACAGCTGGTGGATTAGAATGCTGGCCTTGTCATTGGTAGCCCGATGAATAACCCAATTATGCCATCAGTCCTTCTTCCAAACTCCACAGCCAAACCTGCTGTTAACAGGTCAATTCCAGCTCACAGTGACCCTACAGAACAGCGTAGAACCTCCCCTGTGGGTGTCTGAGAATGTAACTCTTTACAGGAGGAGAAAGCCCCGTCTGGTGGTCTAGAACTGCTGACACCATGTGGTGAGCAGTTGAAGGAATAACCCACTAGGGCTTCCCCTCAGGCCTCCTTAGTACGAGAGCTTTATTAGAAAAAACGCTGGCTCTCGACATCATCATATTCTCTAATCATATATTAAGAGTTCATAAGCTAAGCTTCTCTGGTAATTCTTAAGGGTTGGCCTTCAAAACCTCCTGATACATCCAAGTCGGATTCATCATTGGGTTTTCCCTCTGGGTTGGCCACTCAGCTGAGCTCAGGGTACAGGGAGCTAACATTGGCAAAGCCGTTTGCCACAGGAGGCGGCAGAAAATGCCCCAGAAAGACAGGGTTCCATTCCTTCTCCCAGCTGCAACCAGTACTGACCCAACAGCACAGACCAGGGTGCCCAGGCTCAGCCTCACCTGGGAATTGTTTGGAATTCCAACACCCACGCTGCACACTAGACCAATTAACCGGGACCCTGGGGGCGGGAGGCAGGGCTCAGGGACTTTTGAAGCTGCCAGGTGATTTCAGGCTGCAGACACCAGCAGAGGTGTGAAGAAGGTTGGCACAGCCCACGGGGCTCGTCAGGGAACACCTGCTGCCCGGCCGCCAGGCTGCTCCCTCGGTGTGGCCCTCAGAGCCTCTGTGGGCGGGTCTCTCATGCCCAATCCTGTGTGAACGCGGGCACCCCGCCATTCCTGGAGCCCCCAGGGGGCACGCAGGTGGATGCGGTCACGGCTAAGAGAAAGGTCAGCGGTGCAAGTTCACCGAGAGCTAACATTCAGAGACAGGCAAGCCCAATGGAGCCCAGGTCTTCTCGACACCCACAGGCGGCAGTGGCTTAGATGGTTGAGTTTGCAACTAGACGCACGATCAGCATTTGTGGACGCGCAGACTGACGGGTGGACCCCCAGGAGAATGAGCGCATCCCTCCTAGACGAAATAGGAGGGGGCTTCCCAAACATTTGTGGGGAAAGACGCCATTTTCTTTCAATTCCCCATTTCTGTGAACTTTGGGAAGCCCCCTCTCACACAACCGGCATGCTCCTGAGATGCAAAAGCGATGAGACTTCAGCTAGCTTACTGTGGACAGGTCACATCAGGAGGGGCCACTCGCTAGAAGTCCTGGTGGCGTAAGGTCAGCAGTTCGAAACCATCAGCCACCCCAAGGGAGAAACACGGGGCTTTCTACTCCCGTAAAGAGTGACCATCTCTGAAACCCACAGGGACAGTTCTACCCTGTCCTGTAGGGTCCCTTTGAGTCAGCGCCAACTTGATGGCCGTGAGTTTCTTGTTGGTGGTGGTGGTACAGCGAAAGATCAGGAAAGACAGAGAGGTACCCCATGATATGTAGTGACCCAGCAGTCACAGCCATGTACTCACACACCAGTGGCCCCGGATATGGTGCTGGCCCAGGCAACCTTTCTTCTGGTCAATAGAGAAGACCATCGGGGGCTGGGGCAGACTGCAAGGTCACTGAGAACAGGACAGTGAGGGCAGCCTGGGCCTCCTGGGCCTTGTGATAATGCTTAAACACCAACACCTCCCTGTCCCTTAGGACACAGGACCCCTCCAACCCCTGGCTTGGCTTGGCTTATTTTGCAAGCGCCTTCACCCTTTGAGAACAGAGCTGGCCTTACCTCTACGATGCTCTTGAGATCTTGCACATACGTCCTCTCTGTGTCCAGGATTTCCTGCACCACTCGGTCCACGTAGAGGAGTTTGGGGCTTGGGGAGCACTCGGCGCTGGCCTCCGCTCTGCGCAGCACCCTGAGCTGTCTCTCTCCGCTGCCCTCCGAGCCCCGAGGCCCGGCTGGGTCAGCTCTGGGCAGCTCGCTGCTGGAGAAGGGCTGGGTGGGAACCAGCTCCAGTTTTATGGCCCCTGCTTCCTTGTCCTGGGTGAACAGGCCCAGGTGGCTGCTGGAAGCCAGGGTCATGCGGCTGCCGAAGGAGCCATGGCTGTCCCGGGAAGAGGCCGAGGAGGACGTGGAGCCGAAGCTGATGGGCCGGTCGCTGTCCGAGAGGTCCATGGCCCTCAGTTCTTGGGGGCGGGGAAGCCTGGCTGTCCTGGGGAGGCTGCTTGCTGTCGTGGGGTCCGGCTCGTCTGTTACAGTTGATGGAACATCAGGAGGACACTGATGGCGGTCTATACAAATGAAAAGGGGGGCAGAGAGGACATGATTAGCCAGCTGAGCACACAGGAACTTGACAGCAGCAACAGCTGAGCTCAGGCGTATTCAGTCAAAAGGCAAACAGCCACGACAAGTCCAATGCCAGGGGCCCTGTGGTAAAACCAGTTTCTAAAGCATCACCCCGAGCTGGTTAGAAATGCTGTGTGTCAGGCCGTAGGAGCCCAGAGCTCCAGGAAGTACCACGAGAGCCCCGCCAGACTGGTAAGCACCTGAGAGTCACTGCACCCTCCTTCACCAAGTGTGGCCACCCCAGGAGCCCTGGTGGCATAATGGGCGATGGGCTGCTAGCCCGCAAGTCAGCAGTTCGAAGCCATCAACCTCCCAGCAGGAGAAAGATGAGGCTTTTTACTCCTGTAAAGATTTACAGTCTCAGAAACAAACCCACAGGGGCAGTTCTACCCTGTCCAATAGGGCCCCTCGCCCGAGTCGCTTTGTCTGTGTCCCTGGCTCACGGAGCCCCCGCAGTGGCAGATGAGTTATGCGGACAGGTCTGTTCGGAGTTGGAATCGACTCAGTGGCAGCGAGGGCATATTGTTGGCTCTGCAATATCCTCTGTTCATCCAGGCAAACGGCGCTCCTCGGATGACCGCTGGAGGCTTTCAAGATTCCAGGCACGACTCAAAGACACAGAAGGTGGAACAAAGGCCCTACACAAGCTATGAGATCACTTTAATGGGATGTCCCATGAACCAGGACCCTGAACACCCCCCCCCCCAAACCCACATCCCCCAAGGTACCTGGTTGTACATTCAGTGGCCTCCACAGACTCTTTTTTGTCATTGTTGCAACTATATCTACCACGCAACTTTTGCTAATCCCACAGGTGTCCGGCCTATTGACAGGATACCAACAGTCTGACCTTCACGCAGTGTGAATTTGCCATCGCCCCAAACTCAGTGCTCCATAAACAACGAGCCCCTCCCCCCGTCCATAGACCCACCCACCCACTCACTGCCACCAAGTCCCTTCCGACTCACAGCCATCCACCCTCCAGTCATTGTGAAGTAATCTCTTTCTACACATTTGCCTTTTCTTGTCTTTTCTCTAGGAGCCCCGGTGGCATTGTAAAGTGTTGGGCTGCAATCCACAAGGCCAGCAGTTTGAAACCACCAGCCACTCCTTAGGAGAAAGATAGGACGCACTATTCCTGTAAATAGTTACAATCTCTGAAATTCCCAGGGGTAGTTCTGCCCTGTCCTGGAAGGTCACTGAGCCAGCACTGACTCGGTGGCGAGTTCGATTTTGAGTTTGCCTGTGTATCTCAGTGAGGTCATACACTATTCTAGAGAAGGGACAATACTGTTTCTTGATCTTCGGCAGGAAAAATAAAAACCAACCCCCTGTAAAATGTATCCCCTCTCACCACAATACCTTTGGAATTTCATCTTGAAAATGGGTACTACCCTTATGGTATAAGTGGGATCACACAAATAAAGAGCGTGTCTGAGGAACCACGTGGCCCCTGCTTTCACACGTAAATCTGGGTCATATGACGGTGTAGTGATACAATTAAAGCCTCAAGGGGTTTTCACCGCCGTCATCTGTAGAGAAGCAGACTGCCCCATCTTTCTCCCTCAGAGTGGCCTTTGGTCAGTAGCTGAGCACTCGGTCACTGGGCCACCAATCTGAACTCACTGCCATTGACTCAAGACTGACTCCTAGTGATTCCATAGGACAGGGTAGAATTGCCCCCGTGAGTTTCTGGGACTGTAACTGTTCGCTGGGGTTTCGAACTGCTGACCTTGTGATGGCAGCTCAATGTGGTACTACTAGACTCCCAGGGCTCCTTAAGTACACAACTAGATGATAAGCATAAAGCTCATGAGAAGGAGCCCTGGTGGTGTAGTGGTCAGCAGTTCAAAACCACCAGACACTCCTCGGGACAAAGATGGGGCATTCTCCTCCCATAAACAGTTTCAGAAACTCAACGGGCTTTCTATAGAGAGGCTATGAGTCTGCATCGACTCAATGGAAGTGAGAGAGACGAGGGATGACAAAATGTGGTGCGGGGGTAGGATGTATTAATGGGGCTGTTTGTGTTTGGAATACAACATCTGCAAAGACAAAGGTGACTTTACCACCCAGCACACTTTAAGGTGATGCTGCTTCCACAAAGGTTCTCCATGAAGTTTCAACTTTTGTGAGGGTTTTTGGTGGGGGAGGGCACCCAAACACCACTCTTTTTCATTGACCAGGTGTTGTCTGGACTATTCCCCTTAATGAGACCTAAGGTTTCTAGAAACGCAAGGTTCTACCACAGAGAGTGAGATCCCTGACGACGTTTGCTTCATTTTGGTGGATTACAACACCTGGTTTCCTCCAAACCCAGGTCTGTGCTTATGAGTTTTATTAGAAAGAATAGAACTTGTGTTTAGAGGGCTGTAACATGATAAACTTTAGAGAATACTTCAGTCTCCAGTATACATTGACTGTGAGAGAAGAATATGGACGAATGACACTTTTGCATAAGGAATGTAAACTTGGTTGACTATAAACTAAAGGTCACCAAACAGCTGGTACTCATTATTCCTAGAATATAAAGAATTTGATAAATCTGTACTGTTCAGCATACTAACTTAAAATGTTTAACAGCTCTGACATTTGATTCATAAATCATATAATCCAATGGTTTATACATATTCAAAATCAACAACTTATTTTTTTAATTGGTAACTGGTTTTTATTAGTTGTATTGAGGATCAGTACAGAGACATTATAAACAATTTGTACATAATTCTTTTTTGTTGGTGGTGTTCGGGGTCACCATGGCTGTCTTTCTGATGTTTGGGGTTGGAAGGGGATGCAGGGGCGGGTAGTTTGACCACCTTGCTGCCATTGGCTGAGGATGTTCTCAGAAACTGCCTTAGCTTGGTATTCACAGTCCACGGAAGACAAGAGCTCTGCTCCGGATCTCTGGCCTGCTCCGGATCTCTGGTCTGCTCGTGGATCTCTGGTCTGCTCGTGGATCTCTGGCCTGCTCGTGGATCTCTGG